ATAGTATTAATAGATACTGAAGTGGAATATCTAGCACTCAGCAGTGATAACGAAAAATTTTTCACACTAAATACAGAGCAATGGGAAAAATGCAAAAGATTAGGGTTAGGCAAACTTTGCAAACAGGAATCACTAATCCATCACCGTTTAGGATCGGATTTGTGTGAAGTATCCTTACTCATGGACCCCCAACATTTCCCAAAGACTTGCAATTTACAATTCATGAGTCTGAATACGACCATTTGGCACAATTTAACGAAAACCAATGCATGGTTATACTATACTCAACATAGTACACCAAGTACTATCACATGTTCGGACTCACTTAAAAAATTCCAAATAGAAATCACAAATCTGGGTAGAATAACAATTCCTATATCTTGAAAAATGAACATCGATAACTCCATGTTTATAGCAGAGAGTAAATCCAATAGAAATTTTAAATTGGATATTATATCAAACAATGTTAGGGATATAACTCAATCAGAAATCACAGAACATCTTAAAGGAGTAGTTCCTCAGAACCTTACAAGCACGAAGTGCATTAAACATTTTAATATTCTTACCAGCAAAGCAGTAGAATTAAGTAAACTTATACATGTAATTTGTCTGAATTGAAATTCACACAATTTTACATTGTCAAAATTCGATGTTTAAATGCTTATAAAAAAAAGTTGTGAATATGTATTTTTAATATTTTTCAATTGCTACTGTAACAATATATCAGGAACCTTGTATTAAATTTTTACACTTTTTGGCCCAACAGATAAAACTTATTGATATTTATAGAAAAAAAAAACTAAAAAAATTGAAAACTGAAATTGTCCGTAAACAGCTCAAAAAGAGTCGAAACATTTTCAAAATTGTACAGTGTATTGGAAATTTTAATCTGAATATTCAGTGAAATTTTCATGTATCTATAGTTATTCGTTTTGGAATTACAACAAAATAAGAAAATCGCTACATGAGAAATAAAGTGAATATCCAAAGTTGTAAAAATTTGAATTTCAAACGCTCATAAAAATTTAATTTGACTTTCCGGTAGATATTTTTTATTGATAAAGGTAGAAAATCTTATGAGTAACCTTGTATTAGATTTTCAAATCTTAGATTTAAAAAGAAAAAATTTTTACGAATTCTCAACTCAAAATAATTTGCTAATTTTCGTCGGGTTTTTTTCATATTTTGTCACTTTTTGAACTTTAAATGCTTATAAAAAAAAACTGTGACTAACGATTTTTAATATTTTTCATCTGCCTTTGGAACAGTATACTAGGAGCCTTCTATTAAATTTTCAAGCTTTTTCAGCCAACAAATAAAATTGTATTAATATCTTTATAAAAAAAAAATGAAAAATGAAAATGTCCCTAAACAGTTCAAAATAAATCAAAATATTTTGAAAATGTTATCGTGTATAGAAAATGCAAATATAAACATCCAGTGAAAATTTCATGTAATTACGGTCATTTGTTTTAAAGTTACACCAAAAACCAAATTCAATTTCTGAAAAATCGATTTTGCGTAAAAATTCCCGTTTTTCCTTATTTTTTCTTTTGTTTTTCTTGGCGCTTTTGTAAAGTACTGGGAATTTTAAAATTTGACCTCCCCAATGCACCAACGATATTCACTTTCCAATCGAACAAGATACTGAAGTCGAAAATCGAAGCATTATTTCGACTACTTATCGTGTACACAGACACAAAAATTAAAAAAAAACCACACATCATTGTAAAATCAATACATTCATCGTTCTACTCAGATCTAAAATTTAAATTCAAATTTTTATAATATGAGTAATAATAAATATATTTAATAGATTAAAAGTAGTATTTTTTCAAAACAAAACTGTGTTTATTGTTTAATATAAAAAATGTTATAATAATGACTACAATTTAAAAATATGAGATTCGTGTAACCATATCAATGTTATTATTTTTTTTTTTCACAAAGTGTGATATAAGATATTCCATTTTATGAAAAATATGATTCTCTAAGAGGATACGACGTATACAATTAATAGTTATTTATTAATACATATTTATGATTCATTATTTTCTTTCATCTGCTCAGAATCGGTTTTTATCGAATGCAATCATTGGATTCAATTCGAGTAGGTACTGTAATAATGAAGCCTGGGCATAAACGCGTTTAAAAGTTAAAAGTTAAGTTAATTTTAAGTTAATTTTTTTAAATTTAATTTTCATTAACTTAATTTTTAACTTAACTTGTTTTAATTGATATAAAGTTAATTAATGACGAGTTACGTTTAATCAAATTCAATTTAAGATAATTTATAAATAATTAAATAATAAATATAACAAAAATAAAAATAATTATTGATATTACATAACCATTTACTAGAATAGAGAATTACAAATATAGTCAATTTAATTTCTTGTTCCATTAACCAGAATTTTTCAAGAAAAATAACTCAATTAAATACATTTTTTTGATAAAATTATCAAATTATAGAATTTTTAATTTTTAATTATATCAATACATTTAGTCTACACTAACTGGAGACTTGGTCTGTGTAATATGTGTAATACTTACTTGTATTATTAAATCAAAAGATTGTATTTGTTTTGGCATTTTCAGTTTTTCATGCTTTTCGTACCTAATACATAATTTTATTAATGCAGTACCTACGTATAGAAAAGCTATTGGCTATTTCCTGTGTTCAATAATATTAATGATTTTTATTATTTTAAACCATATTACTGGGTATTTACATAGATATTATAAAAAAAACTTTTAACTTAACTGAGTTAAATAAAAATTAGGTTAACTGTTAACTTTGAACCTTTTAAAATGTTTTCCATTAATTTAACTTAATTCAGTTAAAAATTATCATTAACTTGCTAAGGCTTGGTAATAATACACTATCCTGTCCGATTATAAACAAATTTACCTTAACCATATTTGTATAAAGAAAATTAGGTACCTAACATAAAAATAATTCAAGAAAGTACCTATAGTCATAAGTCATAACTACAATTTATTATTAAAATGCACACAATTTAATGGTTACACGAATCTTATACTTTTAAATTGTAGTCATTATTATAACATGTTTTATATTAAACAATAAACACAGTTTTGTTTTGAAAAAATACTACTTATAATCTATTGAATATATTTATTATTACTCATATTATAAAATTTGAATTTAATTTTTTATTATTATATTACAATATGTGTTAATACTTATTTTTACAAATATTATTATTATTATTAGGTTTACATCGACAACTGTTTCATATAACAGAAACTGGCATGACTAAAGTTTAAAAATATTAGATTTGTGTAATCGTGTCAATGTTATTATTACAATTTTAAAAGGGTACCTATTGGTGTAATTAATTTAAAATATAACGCAAAATGTAAAATTAGAGTTTGCATTTCATGAATTTTAATTTGACCTACACACAAGATTGGTATGTTTAAGACACAAATTTAAAAAAATTATTTTAACGTTTTGTTCATGATTAAAACAATAAAATATATTGTTAAGAACAGAGTAAAATCCAAGTGAATATTGTTTTTTTATTTTGCTTTATTATTAATACAGGGTGTCCCGTGAGGATTTACAACTGTTAGATATATTCCAAGGTAATCTTGTAGGAATTAGCTGTAGATTTTCGATAGGATATAATCCCGAAAATGGATCATTAGACCTAGGCACAACTTGACTGGACACCATTTTAGATACATCATTTTGGTTTCTCAATAAAGGGCCAATGACATTTTCTGCGATCTGCAGTTAACCAAATTGTAGGAACTACTAACTAGATTGATGTCATCAATAAATTCAACAACACTGTACTCCATAATTAATATTGTACCGTTATAATACCTATATTATTATATAATTATTAAACACAATTGAAATAGTATATTAAATATTTACAATTTTTTAAGCTATTCCTTTTGGATTATGGTATATAATGTATTTACAGTTTAATTAATTTTCATATTATGTATATAGTTGTATACACATATATAGTAGCCTGTATAGCACAAGTTTTAACCTTTACATAATATTATAACTAGGTATATAGCTAATACAGGTAAATTATATATTTTTTTTATTAATCGAATGAATAATAGGAAAATGCAAATGTTTATTATTATAAAACATTAACCAAGACTTGCATTTTAGGATCAATCAATATTAAATGAAAATAACCCACAAGACTAGTCAGAAGTATTTTGTACTTTACTATAATAAATGCATAATTTATCAGATTTGCATGGAGAAGTATACAAGTCACAGTTAACATTCGTTAAATTTCACCAATAAAATAGTTTTATTATTAAACAATATTATGCTTTTAATTTGAACAATCTTCTTATTTATCAATATACAAAAACAATTTTTAAACTGATTGCGCTAAGAGAAATACAATCTGCCATTTGAAAAAGTTTTATACTGTTTAATATTCAAGTGAACAAAATCAAAGGTTACTGGTCCATCACTGTACTCATTCTTATGAATTATTTTTGACTGACATTTCTGTTCATAATTAACTGTTCATAGTTAATGCAGTTATAATATTTATTTAAGTTTAAAACTGTAGGTAACCATTTTTAAACATTCATAGATTTTGTTATCCCTATAGGGTCTGTTGACTCCTGACAGAAACTGTACAGTACAGTTAATGTTATATGGTTTTAGCAATATTCTATGCTGCCAATAAACTCGATACTAATTGTTTATAATCTCACCTATTTATAGCCATGTATAAAAAAATACATAATATCAAAAACTTTAAATTTCCAAGTTCAATTAAATAAATGATAGTCGAATATAGGTACATGGTTTATTTAATAAAAAAAACTGTATTTACAAATTATATTGTTAACATAATTACAAAACATTTTGTCAGTGATCTGAAAAAAAAAAATCATCATATTAGTAAATGGAATGAGACTAGTGCCGCTGATCGATATGGATCTAAACAATTGATAATTTATTTTTGGTATTGGTAAAGTACCTATTAGGCATCCGGAGCACAATACATTTTGAGTGTTCTTCTTGTGCAGGGCACGGTTACACATTCATCGACGATTAGCGGTAATCGTAATCGTCTCCTTTGTCCGATTGAAATCTGTTCCTCTCCAGCTATAAATGATAAATGTGCATGTCAATATAACAGTGTTAGAGATACCAAAGGATAAAACAAATGCATATTGTACTAAGGTACTAGGGCTATATCTTCGTCTCCTAGAAAATATTGCCCAGAGTGCACTCTTAATACTATTATACCATATAACATGCAAGTCATCATCTATTCAAACTTCTCGTTTTCATGACAAGAGTAAATGATTTGACCATGGTCGGAAAATTGTATGAACTTGAAGTATTTAAAAAATGTAATGTAAAACTCACCAGGTAACTCGTTGTATTTTCCTCTGCAAATTACTTCTAGCTCGTTAGCCAACCTCGAGCCACAATAGTTGTCTATATTGTCCCAGTAAGGGTCGAGTTGAGGTAATACTACCCCTCGTCCAAACCCGACCAAACAAAATACCAGCAAGGCAATAATGAGTTTGGCCATCATTGATATTCTAATAACAAAACAATGTAAACATTTGCAGGATTAGTGGAATTGATAATTTGAACATAATATTTTCATTATAATCTTCAATGTACAAATAGGTATTATATTATATTCATATTTTATTGGAGTAAACCACTTAGAAATAACATTTTTTTAATATCGTTTAATCATATACATTTTTTTTACTGTTTAATGGTTTTTACACTTAATTATCCATTTTGTTGCATATATAAATTCCTCTGTGTTCTGAATTATATACTTATAAGTTATCTAACAAGCGGCTATGAAACAGTGAATACACCTAAAAACATCTCATACAACCGTGGTAGGTTAAGTGTCTTAATATCCTTTGTATATTACAAAAAACAAAATTCAAAATTTATTCGAATGTTTGGTTTGAGCTAAAATTACAACTTGAATTCATTGTATACGTATCAAACAAATTAAACTGTACACATATATTGAGTAGTAGTACAGTTTGTCGTGAATTATGATATTAAAATACCAATGAATAGCATTTCTAACTTTTATTCACCACATTTATGCTTTTTTAGCAATTTCCCCATGTTTTATATTTTTTAACAAATACTGGTGTAATTGAATAAAATCTCAATTTGGCATGTTTATTCAGGTAGAATGTTATGGAATCGAGTGAGAAAACATTTAAAAAACATCTTAAAGAACAAATATAGGTAACATAAATTAAATTATTAATGAAATAGGTAATTGAAAATATTTTAAGATACAAAAAACTTTTAAGATTAATGTTTTTGAATATTTGATGTGAGAAATTTTTTTCTTTCAAATCAAATACTCCAATAGGTCCCATGCTTTATTAATCTTGTTAATACTTATATGTTCCCCAATCGTAAAATATCACTATTCAGCTCGGAAAATAAGATAGACTAGATAGAGCCATTTGTACTTACCGACGACTGTTTGGATAAATGACGAATTCCAATTAATATGTTTTTGTAATGAGTCTGAAAATGATTGTGATTTGAGCAAAACTAAGGATACTCGAAAACGTGTTCACAACAACAGGTACACAATGCCGTGGTCGATGGCGTCCATCAGGTATCAGTAAATGTAGGGTACGTGGTGTGAGGTTAGGGGAGGTTGTTATCATTAATGTGCAGTGATGCAATATCATAAGTAACAAAATTATTTATTATTTAATTTCATTATAATGATCTATTACGAATACGGTTTGTAACAAGACATAATTACCTAACTCATTATAGTAACATTTACTACCAAGTACCTATACTCTATTCAGAATAAGAACAGGGAATTTCCGTTGACTTCACGCGATCTGCAGACACTGCGAGCCCTGCGGTATACGCTAGTGCGGTAACTCCTAATCACTTATAGACGTCATGATGATAACGTAGTGGTGGACTTGTGAAATAGTAGCAGCCATAAACGATATAATGCAAAGCGTACAATAATAGGAATACATTTTAGATTAAAGTTAATTCGCATTATACTGCCATATTAAACATGCAAATGTATACAATCTGGCTCAAGAGAGTTCGTATCTAAAATCGTGTCTGTGGTTGCCCATCGTTTCTCCTCCATACATGGAGGTACATCATACACCATCTGGTAGTCGGTCGACAGTTTTGTAAAATATTTGAGTAAAAGTATTCAAATACGTTATCTATTGATACTTTTTTAAATACTTTTAATTTTTAAGTATTTTAATGGTTTTTTAAATACTTTTTTTTATTTTTTTAATTCCTAATTTGTTTCTACTTATAATTATTGTTGTAAAATAAAAAGACCATGCCGTCATGATTTTACTTTAACATTATAACAGTGTTATATCACATAATTTATCATTTATGCCTTACAGTAAATTTGGTACCTATCGATTTTCTTCGATTAAATGTTTTTTTCTTCAGGAGACAGTTTATTGTCGACGATGTTCGAAACGATACATTTTCGGTCGGTATCACTATTAGTTTAAAGTCAATAAAAAAATGTATACGTGAAATGCTTCTGCTTAGCGGCTATTATACTATTGTGAATATTAGCTCGTGGCTGGTTACCATACAGGGTTAATGAGGCGAAGTTTCATGAGATAAAAGAAATCACGCACTCAATCACTCATGTGATATTATGTACGTATATCATTTAATTAATTTTGTTATGTTTCATACTGTTAATTAATTGTTAATCTCATTTTATGTTATGTCTTATCATTTATATCTTTATCACCAAGTTAGGTAGAACCGCGGTTGTAGTTCGATATGCCTCCAAGATCTTAAGAAGAGGTTAGCTAGTAACCAGAAAACGCGGTGATTGGCCGTTACAAGTGACGTAGTCAATAGACCTTATTATTAATATTAATTTACGGTCTATAGGTGGTTTATATGCTGTAGGCGCATAAACATTTTTAATTATAATTAAACTATAATATGAATGTGAATATATTTATTAATAATGTAATTATTTAATAAATAACCAATTTATTATGTAAATGTCGCATCCATTAAGTAAAATAGTTATATTCAGCTCCACCGGAAACCGACTGGACTCAGGAGCCTCCACTGTCGGACGAACCCGGTCATCAGCCTGCTGATCAGTTCACCCTGGAAGATCTACGGGACGCCTGCCTTCGGCTACCTGCTGGTAAAAACACAGGCCCGGACGGGATCCCTAACGAGGTCCTCCTCCGCATCTCAAGTTCCATACCTCAGGCTCTGCTGAGAACCTTCAACCACTGCCTGCCCCGGATCGAGTTTCCCACACGTTGGAAGACTGCCAGGCTCGTCCTCCTGCACAAGGGACCAGGAAAACCTACCCAGGAACCCTCCAGCTACAGGCCGCTGTGTATGCTAAACTCCACAGCTAAGCTGCTAGAACGGCTACTGCTGACGAGGTTGAACAGGCACCTCGACATGACCGGACAGAGGTCCGAAAACCATTATGGGTTCCGTCATGGCCGATCCACGGAGGACGCCACCGATCGGGTCATCTGCGCAGCTAACGGAGCCGCACTGAGCACAGTACAGCACCGTGACCTGTGCGTGCTCGTCTCCCTGGACGTACGCATGCGTTCAACACTGCTCCGTGACGACGCATTGATTCCGCTATCCGCGGGAAGCTGGTCCCTCCGCTACTAAACGGCATGATACGGTGTTGTGAACCCCTGAATAGTATTATATTATATTATGTTCACAGTATAAGAATAGTGTGTTGGTCGACGGCTCGTTGGCCGACACACAGGGAGGAGGTTAGTCAGTCGCATTAGAACCGAGCATCGTACTTAACGTATGTTTAAGAAGAGCATTTTATAACATTTTGTACAACTAGTAAGTGTTAACCGCGGCGGCAAAGATCGGCGAGAGCAAAACGCCGAAGTCAAGAACCATTAATATAAGTACCCTCGGGGAGGCCGAGCTGTTGGGCATGATCCAGCATTATGTCACTGGGATGAACAACTTTGCGTCCAATACACGCAATGTCCATAAGGAGCAGAAGGAAACCCTTGCTAAAACCTGTATGCTCCTAACACAGTACACCAGGGTGAAAAATCAGGGACCCGGTGACACGGTCCAGGCAAACGCACCCAAGCAGTATACGAAGGGCAAGGGCAACAACGTTGCCACACAAACGTCGACTGTAGAAGAATTTTCAGACAGCCCTCTAACGAGCACGCTGGCTGGCATTCAGGACCAACTGATGGCGCAGCAAAGGTCTATCGACCTATTAGTTGCTGGACAGAATAGGACAACTCTGCCCGTAAAACTGCAAAGCAAGAAACTGAAAATGCAGCGGCGGAAACGGCAGAAAAGTCTGCAGCTTCAACCGGAGAAGCAATTTTCTACTGACTCTGCATCACAAACGGCTGACTCAGAGAAGGAATTGGCCACCCAGAGCTCGCCAGCGGACCAATCGGAGACTCCCGGAGATAACCAAAACTCCGAATGGACGGAAGCCAGGAGGAAGAAGCCGAAGCCTGCCTTAGTTAACCGGGAACCAAAACGACCCCCTCGTAAGCCGTGTGACGCTGCTGCCTTGGTGCTCAAGCCTACCCCGAAAACGGAAGCCATCACGATTAGTGCCCCTAGAGAAGGGAAAACTTACGCGAGGGTGATGAAACGAGTAACGCAGGAGGTTAACCTCAGGTTAGGTTATTTATTTTGACTGAATTCTTTGATCGACAATTATAATCAACTTGTATTTTTAATTCGTTACTATTTTATTCAATATTGGTAACCTTGACAAATTGACAATCCATCAACTCCTATCTACCAAAAACTCATAGATAATAAAATAATTAAAAGGCCATATTAGCTTATAACATGGCCATGAACGTTACAAGTTGTCTTAAAATCAAATAATGATAAATCCCCTTGCAAGAGTGAGAAGCACTATATAAAAGCAGGTTGTCTCTCATCCACATTCCGGAACACAAACCGGTACATCAATATAGAATGGATATCCAATGTCCATTATTTTATTATCTTTGCCCGAACCGGTCCAAGTCGACACATACACCGTGCATATTTTTGACACCCACGAAGGTTCTTAAGGGGTGGTCTTGCAGGGTATTTTTAAATCATTTTTCTCTTCTGACTGCACACATTTATTTCCACAATTGGATTATAGCAGGGCATTTGTCTATGCAGACTTAACCCTACGGACTGTTATCCATTGACTGTGCCACCTATACTACTGTATACTATCAATGCACTATCTGTATTGTAAATAATAATTGTAAAATTCTGTTTGTAAATAAAAGTAATAATACTTATTAAGTAATATTTACTTGTAATAGATAATTTTTAATAGGTCGCCAGAGTGGTGCCGACTGAAAACGGAATTCCGGTTCCGGCCAACGGGGGAGAAACTGAACAGAAGCCAAACTGTATAAAACCGAACACCGGTGGGTCAACACCAGCGACCATGGAGGGCCAACATCGCCCTCCAACCACCGACAACGGACCGAAGGCTCGGTAACCGGAAAGCGGGGACCGAACGGCGAC